GCGTACTTGATTCCATCTAGATTCAAGAGTATTTCCTGTATTTTTGGGTTATGATAAGGCTTCCGCTTTAAAATCCGGTTTGTGCAGTTCCCGGAAATCAGAGATGAAATCGTACAGATCCATTCTTTTTGGGAATGATGAAAGGTTGTGCCGCCCACTCGGAAAGATTCACCTTCTTGAGTAATACTGCCTCGCAGAGACGTGTAACCATCCATTTTAAGAGTGTTTGTATGGACTCGTGGAATATGGTAAGCCCTTGCATGATGGGGTTTAGCATCAGGGAGAAGTCCTACTTCGTAGTCGTCCATCTTCCACTTTCACAAAGTACCATAGAATAGGTCAGAGTACTTAGTCAGTAAGGAATTGAGCTGTTCCGTTCTCTTCCTTGTTTAACTGATCTTGACTTTGGCAAACCTGCCTTAAGTCAGCTTGTTCGTAATTCGCATGTCAGAATCTTCTTGAGCAGGTGCCAATGTATCAACAGCGGTAGGATCAGGAATGAAGAAGTTCTTTTCTTCATTGGTGTCGCTGTTTTTCATAGGAATAGATGCGCCGTCCCATTCACTGACATGGTAGTGTAATCGAACTTGAATCCTAAGTCGGAGAGAATGTTTCGACCTATGATCATTTCATTCGCCCCCAAGCTCTTGGTGACGTGTAATCCCACTCGATAATTCAATCTTCGCTGGAATTCAGGAATTATGAATGCACCTTTGCACTTTCGTGCTGGTGTTTAATTCTCTTGCAGGGGTAGGCCACATTGTTTGGCGCCCCCAAGATCCTTCATGCGGAATTTCTTAGATTGAGGTTGAGCAATCAGGTTCCGGATGCTCATGTATACAGTAAGCAACGGAGTGTACGGTTTTTGGTTTCCCGTTTTCTCGCTTGTTAAATCTAACATAGACGATGGGTTGAGGTCTCTTGTCTTGCACCGTTTACGAGGTGGTTGGCCAGGTACGAGCGTTAACGATGCTATAAAAACATCAGAGTCTAGTTGAGCAGCTTTTAGGCAATCATCTATATTTGCCGTAGGTTCATGTTGCAAACAATTCTTGTTTACTAGTTAGTGATATATCTTATCACATTTGGTATGAGAAATCGGAACATGGTTCCGTTGAGTCATCATCCTGGCCTAATCCTCAGATAGAGATTTCTCCATCCAAGTGATTGAAATCGCATAGAGAAGAGTTGTCCTCACTATCAGAGTCTTCTGATTTGCGCCTGGCAACATGGTTGCAAAGTTGCATGGTTCACGAGTATTGATCGATCTCGTTTTCTTCTGCATTGTCGACGGAGGAGATGGGGTTGTCACGCAACTGTTTCTCGAAGTTGCGAAAAGCATGCTTTCCTTGAGCACATCTTCATGGTGAAGGATAGGTTGAGGTGTAGCTGAAAGCTATTGTGTTTGTTAACAAAATGCACTACGCTAAAGCTAGTGTAAAGATCTTTCGAGTGTTTTGAGTTTGAGAGAATGAAAGTTATGAGAGAGATTAGAAAGCTATGAAAAAAATCAACGAGAGAGATCATCATCAAGGTCGTAGATCTGGCTTCCCGCGGGAACTATAAAGTGTGATAGATAGTTGCGGTAGTAATCCTACGTATCTCCACTATCCTAAAACGAACGCGTGGTAGATTGTCTAGCCTGGATCTAGTAGCGTGGAAGTACTCCACGCTGGCTAAATATCTAGAGCGATGTTTCATTCATCAACCTAGTATGACAGCCGGTCATTGAGAACCCTGTCTCAATGACTTTCACGAGAGACTCAGTCATGAGTCGAACTCAACCCTATCTAGGATGAGTCGCGAATAAGCTAGAGCCGTGTATTGCAGTTCCTCCGATTCAAGAGACTGCCTAGGGGGGCTGCTCTAATGGAAAGTGATGGCCGCACTCAAGCCAAGGACATCTTCGGTAATCCTCTACTAGCAGAAGGTGGATGGAATGCCCCTAAGATTGAATGGATTCTCAGTGCGGCTGTTAGTGATTTGCATCAAGCCAACAGCCATGACCATGACTACCTAGATGAGTGTGAAGCATGCTTGGCTATGCCTGAAGTCGAGCAATACCTGGGTTGTCGACACCACAGGAGCAACACAAGACTCCATCGGAAGGGGAATCCAACCAAGAACCAGCTATACCGGAATTGCAAGAAGCAAATGCAAGTTAATGGCAAGGACTACAAGGAGACAGGCAGTTCCCAGCTGCTGCCAGCAGACTTGCGCATGCTCCGAACACATCTGCTCAGCGCACCAAGTTTGGTCAATCTACAGATGTGGGTGGTAGCACTGCTAGCTTCCCTGTTATTCATGAGGTACGATGAGTATCATGACATTGCAACAGAGAACTTCCTTCCCAAGTTGTTCCATATTCCCAGTGTCACCAGTGTCACCAAGGTCATCGAGGAATTATGAGATTTGTGGCAAGGCCGACAAAAGGCATGTTCACTTGCGCATTGTGGCAGATCACCAATATCTAGAATTGTGTGGTGTTCGAGCATTGCTAGTATACCTGTACTTGATTGGTTGGAAAGGTGGCTCCATATTTCCCAAGGAGAAGGAGCTACACAAACCACCTCGAGATGGCATTTACACAACGACAATTGATTATGAGAAATTTAACAAGGATTTACAGAAACTATGCAAGAAGGTGCTGATTGCTCGGGATGATCTAAAGATTGGATGCCAGACCTTTCAAAAAACTGGTTATGCCATGGCTATCTTTGGGAATGCCAACAGAGAGGACTTGACGATGTCAGCCAGACACTCTCAGAAATCCAAGGATGCTCCTACCTACTCCAAGGTACGAGAGGCATTTGAGAGCACCAAATCCCCTCAACAGTGTAAGAGATTGGTCCAACAACTGGCACTGCAGAAGTTAGAGCTCATCTAGCTGGAAGTGACTATATCGTAATGGAGAAGCTACCAAGTTACTTTGTACAGGAAATTCTGAATGTACCCAAGGAGCACCCTCAAGCCAACAATCATTCATTATGGACAAAGCCCTCAAATATGGCTTGAACAACTTCCCCGAGCAAAGACTTACTGAGTGTTTGGCAGATATGCATCCAGATAAGCAAGCTACAATGCGCCAAACTATCGATGATCTGGTTGTTGCTAGGGTAAGAGAAATGCTTGGAAAAGCTGTGGCAATCAACAACCCTGGAATGGCTACAGCCAATCTTCCGGTTCCCATGGCTGGTTACTCCAGTCCGACCAAAGCCAAAAGAATCAGAGCCAGAGGAGCAGCAAAGCAGGAAGCGCCCAGCAACAACTCAAGCTGACCTGCCAGAGAGAAAGAAATTAAGAAGAGGGGGACTGCCCACAGCATCCAAATTAGAGATACTGCTCCGAGTGGAAGAGCAAAAAGAGCAGTGCCGAGAGGAAGGGAAGAAACTCACCAGTGGGGCCAGCAGCTTTGTTAAGAAATTCCTCACTCCCACTCTCCGGTGTCTGGAAAATCATTTTGGTGGAGATGCTGCAGCATTTGCTGAGAAATATCCCAAGTACCAGCACACTTTGTTCAAGCAGCAGTGCTGTGATAGACACGGAGATACCTGTTCACCCAGCAGCAGCTAGTAGTAGCTGTTCACCCAGCAGCAACTAGTAGTAGTGGTATCGGTGTAGTAGTAGTAGCAGTAGTAACAAGAACAGTAGTAGTGAAATAGAAGATTTAATTTTGTTGTTATCGAAGGTTGGTGGTAGAAGCTGCTGATCAATGACTCTTCTTCAAGAGGCAGTTCAATGCCTCGTGGATTTGAATCCAGAAGGCATTGAAATTCATCCTGTTGGAGAGGGCATTGAAGCTTGGCACGCCTGTTGTTTTGACTTTTACTCAAATGACAGGCGTGCCCTTCTTGTTCTGAGCTTCTTGTTCTGAGCTCGAGCAGCATGAACTGCCCCCTACTGCACCACCGACCTATTGGTCCTAAGCCCTCTACCCCTTCAATAGGCATATGCAGTGTCTGTAGGACCCCCCTCATTTTCTGTCTGTGGGACCCCCTCCTTTTGAGTCTATAACCCCAGATCCCGTAGATCTATCGATTTCCCTGGTACTGAAGGAGCCTCTACAGGGCTGTGGTAGGCTTTCTATGGCTCTTCTGGATTGGCTTTGGAATGCGTTCAAAAGCTACGTCTCTAGTACAAAATCGCTAGACTCGCCAAAACAAGATGTTCCAAAGACTTAAGAGGCATTTCCTTTAAAAACCCAAGTGGTGAGGACCAATCCAGCGCATTTGAGTGTGGGATTCGAATGATGGACTTGTGTATGTAGCTTGCTACCGTAAAAGTATTGGTTTGTACTAGGGCCGTAGCTTTTGAACTGAGTCCGAAGCCAATCCAGAGGAGCCATACGTGTGACATCATCAGAAGGATGCATATGTTCCTCTACTTAACCGTTTTATTATGAAACGCCATGTTATAAACTGCTCTATCTCGCCAAATATGTACTCAGTCATTTAAGCAAGGGTTGAGTGAAGTTTGTTGAACCATGCACAAGTCCACTTAACAATGGTTCCACGATGAGACGATTTTGAGGGATTTTGGGGGAAATCGATGGGTAGGTAGGATCTGGGGGTCATAGAGTCTGTGGTATCCCCCTCATTTCCTGTCTGTGGGATCCTCTATTCCGGTGAAGCTAGCATATAAGGATAGAGATAATATAAGCTGGCAAAACTGGAAATTGAAGGTTCAATAAAAAGTTAGGGATAGGAATATATCAATGTAATATAAGGTTTGTGCACTCAGCACAAAAACACAATAAGCCAGCAGATGTTGTAAATCTAGAGTTACACAATCGAATGATGGATGTAAATTATGGGTTAGCCGGCAGCAACGCCAGCGGCGGCAGACCAAGTTCAACCTTGCAATGATCAGAACTACGAATGCAACCTGATAGAAAACTGGATCATTCGAGGTCCACTAGCTAACTGAACCAACACCACCGCAAATAACAAAAAAGGGCGCCATATCGCATCCACAGAAAACACAAACTCTTGCATGTCAAGATGCATCTCATATATCCTTTCATATACCCACAAACGGTTAAAAGCAAGCCCTAGTAAGAGGCCTGCATATACCGTTTTCAAATCTAACCGTAGAACATAATCCCTCCGGGGAAAGTGTAATTAATAAGTTAATCTAGCCAGCAGCAACGCCAAGGCTAGCTTGATATAAAACAGAAGGTTACAATGAGGGAATGATAGTGGGCGGCAACACACGACGAAGTCGGGTGTTGTCGCCAGGGCTAGCTTGAAAGAAGGGTGCAATCTCAAACACGATTCTCCTTCTTCTATCTGTCTTTCTGCCGAGGTGTCGCAGTTCCCGCTGACTTATGTAACTACAGTACGTCCACGTCTACCTGATGCCTCGTTTCCGCTAGACTTATGAGGCTAATTACACATCATCATGTTGGTCGTCGGTGCAGTGTCACGCCTACTTGAAGAGTCAACACCCAAATACAACAAGCGCGTAGAGAAGTCTACCGCACGTACATACATAGCGTGAGCTCCGACTGGAGCATTAGCGCTTTGCTAGCTTCAAGTCGGGAGTTGTGAATGCCTAGTTATTCGCACGTTGCAATGACCGGGTGACTTTAGAGCGTAGCTTATGAGAATTACTGTGGATTGACTGGAGTCCCGCTGTTGCACCCATCTTGATGCTATTAGTATAGAAAAGCAGTACCTTTCAATACTCCGTGACACATGTCTCACCTCTATCTTCTACTTATACGTACGTACAATGAAATAACGAGGTGTGTGGCACGATTTTTGCAAGCCATTGTGCAAACGTATAGTGAAATAGTAGGATAGTGGTTTGCGAACACGACATACTACTCCCAGTTACTGGCTCGCTTTCAGAACTCCAGGCACTGTAGTACGCTACACACAAGAGTGTGCTTTACCACAGGAGGCTGCTGTAACTGTGTTTTCCCTCATGCACTACGCTAAAAGCTAGTGTAAAGATCTTTCGAGTGTTTTGAGTTTGAGAGAATGAAAGTTATAAGAGGATTAGAAAGCTATTCGAAAACTAATCACACGGAGAGATCCACAATCAAAGGGATCGCTAGATCTGAATCCCGCGGGAGACTGTAGAGTGTGATAGAGTAGGTTGCGGTAGCATATCCTACTCACTCACGATCCAAAAACGGAACGCGTGGAAGATTTAGTCTAGCATTTATCTAGTAGCGTGGAAGTACTCCCACTGGCTAAATCTCTAGAGCGATTGTTCATTCTAATCAACCTAGTATGCTAGAGCGGTCATATTGAGAATTCTGTCTCCCATGACTATTCTCGAAGGACTACGTCATGAGTCGAACTCAGGACCCAATCTAGGATTCGAGTTGCGAATAAGGCTAGGAGCCGTGTGTTGCATTGGCTATAGAGCCGTGTATTGCATTTCGCCCCCTGACAAGGGGTCACGGTAGGCACGACATCAGTCGGAAAGGAGAACAATGATTTTAAAGTGCGGGGCAACTCTCCGGAGATCCCTGGATGTAGACATTGCGTCGCACGATTGGCAATCCTATAATGGGTCAGGCCTTGTATTTGTGTATTACCTTATGTTACAAGTCCGGTAGACTGTGACAAGGCCTATTGCCGGCGGTATCGTCAGTGTTGGAGCCGCTTCATGCACGTGCCATTGTTTTGACTCGTCTGTGTTGGTAGGACCTGTGCGTTGGCTAACGGTTCTGTTACTGCTGAATCATCATAGTGTTGACATGGTGTTGACGAGGGACACGTGCCGTGTTCTCCTTATCGTGTTTTTCTGGATAAGTGGTTGGCGACGTTCCTTAATGTATTCCGGTTTGCTTTGAAACGGCCGTGGTGAAGCTTGTCACGATTGACTCGCGTGAACTTGCGACGAAGTCCATGTTCATCCGGGAGAGTCTTC